ATACATACATACATTTTTACAAGCCCCAAACATGGATCATGTGCGTTGATTTTGATATGATGAACGCTGCTGCTATTAGAATAGAACAGGAGGTGAAGTATTTGAATGGTACATTCAGGTTCTTTGCTGCCTTTCCTACTGTAGAAAACGATTCTCAATGAGCTTAATCTTGTATTGCGACTTGAATTTTTATTGTAACGAGAGTAACACTTGCACACACTTCATCTATCTTCCGTACAGCTCGCCTCCTATGGATTGTCTGCTGAAATGGTCCCAAATATAGAAGTTCTCATGGAATGCGTCAAGGAGGGAGCGCCAGAGCAGCCTGAAGTGTCAGGGAGTGTGTAGTTAAAAAAAATCCGTTTGCTGTCAAGTTTGCCCATTTTTATCACCGGGAATCTACCACTGATACTATGGTCCTGCTACTTTCTGTCATAAATTCTAGAATGACGATATATATATGTAAATACACAAAAGAAGCATAAATTCACATACAGGTATATATACCTTTGTACATGTATATAGCACAATATATACATATATCATATACGTATATTTACATATAATTAATAAAATAGAAGAAAATATTATATACATACATACATACATATATATATATATACATATAGACACAATTATATGGTATACGTTTATGAATATATATATTTATATCTATATATATATATATACATATATATATGTATATATATACATATACATACATATACATACATCTATATTTGTATATATATACATATACATATACATATACATATATATATATATATATATTGATATATATATATATATATGTATATGTATATATATATATATATATGCACGCACACACACACACATATATATATATATATAAATAGAACACAGAAATCACGTTATTTAAATATGCTATGAGATGAATTTGCATAGATGATTACGTAGTAGATTACGCTTACGTAACTCTGCACGAAATGGACCTTAGCATGCATGTGTAATACTGTTTGAGCCCAAAATCCTATCACATACATCGATCGTATTGTAATTCTTTATGTACATATATATTTATTTGTCTCATGGAAGCATGGGTGCGTAGGAATTGATCTTTGATCACTTTGATTGCCAGCTTATGCTGCATAGGCCATGTATAACTCTTTCATATCGTTTTTGTCGACACGATTAAGCACACAATCCGCTGCATCCAAGATACCAATCTTCGACCAAAGGCGCATTCCAGGGACATCCTCGGGCGTTTCACCCGTCATGTACGGGCTTCCGAAAGGTCTGTCAACCATCACAGCGGTCTGGAATACAGTATAGTTCAACGTACTACTCTTCAATAACGCCAGACATCTCTTGTGGTCTTCCATGGCTGGACCATATTTAGACGGTGATAGGTACCCCAGGACTGACTGCGCGATATGTGTGGGTAAATCTCCATTCTCGTCGATACCATATACGCCAAACATGATGAACCGAAGATTCTCCCGATTTTGACTTTCACACGCAGCAATAACATTTTTTACGGCGGTCGACATGATATTATGGGGCGCAGCAAAGGAAGCGAGACTGCAGATCACTATATTTGATTCTTCCACCAGGCGAGAGACCAGCTCTGGGTCGTCCGGGCTCCTACACAAAGCGATTAGACGTAGGGAACACACGAATTAGTTGAACGAAACAAGAAAAGTAAATAAAATGAATTGGTATAAAAGCAGGCGATGCGCAAACAAGCAGGGAACATTTATGTGAGAGGATAGCAGAATATAACTTTATGTACATTTAAAGTGCCGTGGCAAATAATACATACTTACACATCCATTACTCGACAATATGTTAAGGAGGCTGGTACAGGAAGAAAGATGCGAAACATCGGATAGATCCATGGTTATGTCGCTATAACACGCACTAGCATTACAATAAGTCACATGCCACGGAGGAGAAACGTACGTTCATCATCATCGCCACGCGAAGGTTAAACATATTGGATCGTACGGTTTGAATAGGGCATCAAGAACTGATCCCCGGAGAAAAGTTTCTTCATTAACAATACCACGTGAAGAATAAATGTCTTCAAAATATTCAAAAATGTCCGCTTCAAAATAGGGCAGC